ACCTGCCAACAGCATGGATACTGGAAGGCTTTGCACAATAAACAATGTATGTTTCACAGAAAACATACAGATGAGAATATTATGAATGGGTTAGAAATTAATTAAAACTGATGAACTGGTAAAATCTATGACAAGATACTACAAGGAAATTAAAAAGATGAACAGAAGAGAGGATATAAAAAAGTAACTAGGACCAGAAAATCAGAGATAGTCCATCAAGCAAAAAGGGAAAGCCATGCAAAGTTGAAGCAACATAATTTTGTTTTGTTTTGTTTTAATCATCAATAATATGGTTGTAGGCTCAGACATTTCACATAGATAATCCTGAAGAACATACAGTGTATAGAGGGAAATGTTACTGTCTCGAGCAGGAATACGGTGAAATAAGGATACTGTAAAGTATGTTACTCTCGTGTCAGACATGTTTTGTAAGTGTGGAACACTGCTTAAGCTCACAGATGAAAACAGAGATTGGCTGTGCATACCAATATACAAAAGGAATTCATTGTTGTTTACAAACCAAAAAAAATAATGTATTACTTGCATTTGTCTTAATCATTGTTTCTTTTTTTAGGAATTTTAATCGTGTTTTAGCAGCACAATATTTGTGGAAACAAAACTGAAAGCTTCATGTGGGAATCCTACAGAAAGAAGTTCCAGGTCTGCATGCAAAATTATTTGCAATCATTATTTTTACAATAATTGTTCTGGAACAGACATAATCAGCAAGCAATTCTGAGCCACAATAAATAGTCTGATTTATATGATCTGCATCAAGAATCTAACTATAGAGAATGGTTCATTGTTAACTCTTAGGAAAATAGGTAAATGTTAAAAATGTGTATAAAAAGGCAAAACATCTACAGAAGCAGAGATAAGTTACCTGAAATATAAAGAGGGAAAACATAGGATAATTGCATTGTACATTCATTGTAAACTGGCTTTGGATTTCCAATAATGTTCACATGACATGGATTTAAGTGAAATATTATTACATTTGTGATTTTTATTTTCAAATAAATTGCATATTGTGTATATTCTTCACAGGAGGAATTTGTATCATTCCAAGAACATGAATTTTACTGCTAACATTTCTCTTAGCACAATACATTCATATCCCTGTACTCAACAAATATGTTTTATATATTTATTTCCAGGGTTTATTTTTCTGTGAACATCAGTCATTGAGTTACAGAACAAAGTGGAAAGAAATTTTCTAGAAGTACTTACCTTTAAGCACAGCAAAACTTCTTGATTATTCTAACTGAGTGAAGTCCAACACCTGACCTTTTTTAATTTTTACAGTAAGTTCTATTGAACAACTTTTTTTTACAAGCAATGTGAATGGTTTCATGAAGCTAGGCTATTCAGCTGTATGGGGATCAGAAAGAGCTTGCAGCATCTGCATCACAGCTGGAAACACAAAGGGAAAACTTCCTTCTGTGTTTAGAAATTGCCAGATAAATGAGGAAAATATGTAACCATGTCTCCTTACTATACATCAAGTGTAGATATTTTAGACATTGCAGTAGATTACCATCTCCCTGCATGCTTTTCTGTCTCTTGAGAGCTCTTGCATCTTGTGAAGCAGACTCCTCCTGTCTTCTGCCTTACATGTAATGAGTACAATGTTTCAAAATGCCAAAACAGTCCAACTTTTTCACAGCTGACAGCAAAATGTATTACTGTTACTCTTTCCTCTGCTCCCAACCAAATACTATTTCCATATCCTCCTTTATCCTTCTGTTGAACAAGCTCGAAAACCCAAAAGATCCAAATCACCCTATTGAAGTGTTTCTGCATTAATTTAACTATCATATCCAAATCTCAGATAAGTCAAGATAATTTCCTTTGGAAAGAATAGTTTGAGGAGAATGAAGAATACCGATAACTACCTTTAAAAAGACAGCACTGAAAAATATGGAATAAAATCCCATAGTACTAATAAGATTACTCTGAAGAGCCGAAGAATTAGTAAGACCTGGAAAACATGCTTGCCTTTTATTTTTGAAGACTGTCTACACTGTAAAACAACTTTGAAAAAAAGAAAAGAAGAAAGATTACTTAATCTAAGCATCATTAATTAGTCTTGCACTGTTTAGGATGTTTCAGGTGAGACAGAGAGGCTTGCTGGAATTTGTGGGAGGTGATTAAAATTCTAGTTATGACCAGGAGGACTTCACTGCCTGTCCTCCTCCACTGCAATGCTGCCTTTCATTATTAGCCTCATGGAAATACTTTTTAATGCACTTCTATTACTTTTCAGCTGCCTTCCCACTTCTATTGCGTTATTATTGCCCCCATCTGCCCAAATTATGCTATCAGACACTATAATATATTTTCTAGGAATAAAATCTAGATATTTCTAGCATGTAAATTTGCTTGCTATCATTAATTGTAAATAGATTCATTTCATCAGGATCACTGAATTTGACAGTTTCTTGGTAAACTTTTGTAAGCATTTGCAGCTTGAAATATGGCTTTAAGATAGCTGAAAGGGTAATGATATTGTAAGGGGGATTTCCTCCTGCTTTATTGCATTCTTTCTGTCATTTAATGCTGCTGCCTTTTTCAGAAGAGATGTATAAAAAAAATAATCACACAAGACTGGCAGAAAAAATTCAAAAGTACCATTGCACCTTAATATTTCTTTTCATGAACTGTGTAAGGACAGAATCTTCTCAGAAATACAACTCTTACAGAAACACCAAACACAAAGAATGTGTACAGGGGAAGGTTAACAATGATTGTCAAAGACAAGATCCTGATGACCCTTAACCGTAAACAGAACCAAGCCACATTTAAATAAGAACGGCTGAAATGACACAGTGCAATCCAACATCTGTCATGAATCTTGCCCAATCACTTATGAATAAAAATTAAATTCCAACTGCAATTATGATCCTTTCCCAAAAGAAAGAATTTTTATAGACAATCTAACCTACTGGTGACAACCTTCGATTTTCTAGATACTGAAATGCCATTTCTTTTTCTATGGCTTGAAATAATCTATGTAATATTAAATCACACCTCACTCATGCTGCTCTTTACATCCTTCTGAAAAGAAGGTCATTCAAAGCAGCATTTATATCTTGAAGAAAGAAAGAAAATAGCAGACTCAAAAGACTTCACTGCTGGAGAGTGACCACAGCACTTTGCATCCTACTGACATAGTGAATTACAACAAACTTGGATGTATGCAACTGAGTGGGAGAAAATTAAGACATGGGAACACACATACGGAAACTTAAACCCTGTAATCAGGTTTTTAACTGAACACCTTTCCTGGAAGTATCAGACAGGTTAAACCACAGCTGGACGAAATATTAATCTCTTCTGTGAGATATGGGTCTAGAGGATTGTTGGATTCAAAGGACAAAAGATCATTCCAGAAGCAAAGAACTGTTACTTGATTTTAAGATTGTTAGGATGGAAAGGAACAACAAGTGTTGAAATTTAACAATAAATGCTTTAGAAATCAAACCAGATATAGAACCAGCTAATCTCCAACCTTGTTATACTTAATTTTCATAGAATCATAGAATGATTTGAGTTGGGATGGACATTAAAGATTATCTAATTCCAACCCTCCTGCTTTTTATATGGATAATAAAAAGGACAATTGAGTGATTGCTCAGTCAGATCATAATTTTTGAAGACTTCATGTGAGAAAATACTTTATGCATACTCAATATGCATTATTAGACCCTCCCTGATGCTCAGCAATTTTTTTCTTCTGAAGAACTGCATCTCAAAAGAGCAGGAGCAACAGCATCACCATTACAAAATCTTTTTTGTTACCTTATCAGTCTGAAAAGACAATTGGAAGGGTTCTAAACAAGCATCTGCAAATGTTAGAATCCCAGAGACTTGGAAATCTAGAAGAGCAGATTCGACACCTGTGCTAGGACCCCTGCTCCTTGCAAGCTGTGCTAATGCAATGCTGTGATCTAGTCCTCTCACATTTGCAAACCTTTTTAGTAGGTCTCTGAAAACCCAAACATACCAGATAGATAAAGCTTGCATTTGTACTTAAACTGTGCAAGTGTTTTCAGTTGGAGAAGGCTTATACTCTTCATGCATATATTCTCATACCACTGGTCCGGTTCACTTGGGAGTATGGATCTAGATGTTCAGTAAATAAATTTTTATATAACAGTATAGAGGTGGTTTAAGTTGCAACTTAAATAAAAATCAATTTATCTTCTCTGTCTTCATACCACAAAATATCTCATTTAGAATGAAGTATCTAGTTTATCATAAGCACAATCATTCTTTGGACTCCACTCACTGATTCTAATGGGCACTTAGCCACCACAATGCTATCAGACACCCACATTTAGAAAACTATACCAGGAATCTTGATTTTATATTTGAAACCACCTAATGGGAAGTGCACCCTGAGATCTGAGAAAACAATTGACTTGAGAATTTTACTAGCCAGGAGAAAGTGATGATATGCTGTTTAATTCTGAGAATTTAAGACCATCACAAACTTTCAATTTTATGCTTAGTCTTCAGAATCTTCCAGTGTTAACAAGGACAATCCCAATATACAATTAACAATGTAAGAGCAATATATTTCTGCTGTGAGAAGAGAAACATCATGTAAAACATAACATATTTACCTTATGTGAATGAAAAATAAGCTTTCTGGTAGAAAAATGTTCAAGGTCAACTAAATAATCTCTGCAGAATCTGCTTTCTCATGGTAAAATGTATTAATTACCAGGTTGTTACAATCAACTTACACTTTACTACTTCCAATTTTCAAACTGTCCTATTACGCTCACACACTGTTATTACATGGTCACTAACATACAGATACTGATGTGATGATACAACTTTCGGAAACCTTGGGTGTATTAAAATGTACTCAGGTCCTTAGTCATGGAGCACATCAATCTGATGCAATTATTAAACATACTATTTATCTAAAAATTTGTTATACTTATTTAACTGATGAAATGGCTCCAGGATTTAAATTATTCATTACTTACCCCTGTTCTTTGAACTTCCAAGAAAATTGCTCTCTGAAATGATTTCTCCCACACTGCCAATTCGCTGCCCAGCTCTACATTGAAATAATGACTCTTGCCATGTCCAACCATAACACTGAAACAATACGGCCTCTGGTCTTCAAGATCAAAGTCCTGATGAATACCTAAATACAAGTTTGCTTGTAGCCAGCAGTCGTCAGCAAGCCAGAGCTGAAAGACATGTTTCAGTATATGATTCTTCATCTAGCAAAGACAAACAGTTAAAGCAATATTGTCTTCTGTAAGTAATGGGTACTCGGATACGTTATGTCATTATAATTACCTTGAACAAATGTTCTGAAAATTAAGTAATAATTTCACAGACAGCTTATCTCTTTGCCTCTTATTCACTTTACCCTGTATCATGTAATCCAAGCTACTTCTGCAGTTCCAAAATACAGCCAAAGTTACCTAAGCAATATATGCATCATTTAAAAAGAGTTTGTAAAACAATATATTATTTACAGTGAAAAGAAAGGAAATCCCAGAATTGTCTGAACTCAGTTCAAGAGCTGCGTACTAGCTTTACAGAAGAATATAACCACTCAATTCTAACTGGGTTCCAATATGCTAAACACCAAGGAATGCATTAATTTATCAAGCACTGAAGGGCTTATTCTGTAAATGATATGCCAGCTTTCAAATGTCCCCTAATAGCTGCTAATGCTGCTACAAGGGGAGGGAAGTGAGAATCCTACCAACACCTTCAAAATGCAGAAGAGAAACTTCACACTAGTCTTTCATAGTAAAAAAAAAAATAAATCCCTGTAACAGAATGCTCTGTAAATAAAAATAAATTCTTAAGAGAAACTTTCAAGACTTCACTGATTAACATACATGTAGAGAAAAAGAAAATTAAATAAAAAAGATATTGCTTACACACCAGATAGGAACTGAAAATCTTGCTTGTCCTGGTCAATTACTGAACAACATAAACTGGCAAATATAATGTTATGCAATTTACCCAAGTCTAGCCTGTAAGCTAAGGATGTTTTATGGGGCAGCTCAGAAGCAGCCACCAATGTACACAGCACTTTGTTGTCGAAAATGGCCCCGCAGCTACCTGAGGAGAGAACAGTCTTGAGGAAGTTCCAAGTTATTTTACGATATTCCTTTGGACTGTTGAAAGTGAAGCTGAACAAAATACCTGCATATAATCTGATGTTCTGCAGCTATGGAATGACAGGTTTTACATGTACATTTGCTTCACAACTCAATGCCCCTCATTCTGGCTTGCAGAACATTATATTAATGGTTTTTTACTTTTTACGTGAAAATGGGATGTGTGAAAATACCAGGTAATAAAAGAAAATAGAATTATTTTAAGACAGGTGCCTTTTAAAAATGTGTCTAATATTCTCACCCCTGAAAAATACAGGTTTTCAGTAACAGTTCCAGTAAATACGGAGTACGACGCAAGGTATAGGAAGAAACATATGTGATAAAAAAGATTATGTTTTCAATCATCTATTTGTTATTACTAAATGTCCATGAATAAGCAAGAATATGAGATACATGCATGTTCGTGTATGCAAGAGTGTACTTACATGTATGTACATAGATTCACAAATCTAAAACATAGCAAACATTTTAAAATTTAATTTCTATATTGGATTCTGATTTTCCATGCCTAACTATTGTGTCATAATAAACACAGATCAAAAGCTTACTATCAGGTGAGTAACAAGTGCACCTCTCCTCAAAATCCATCTTTTGTGAGAAGATCTAATACCACTCTCCACCACAGCTTTGCACTAGTTCTAACTAGCTTCTGAAAATCCTTAGGAACACTCTCCCCAACTGGCAGTTTTTATGACATAAACTCCATCTTTCAGTCTTCAGTGTAGAAACCTTAACTTCCTAGGATTTATTCCTATCTTTTTGGATTTGCTCAGTTTGCCTCACTGTCATTTATGCCAAAGAATCAACAGAAAAGAGATTAAAGAGTTGAATTTGAGCTTTTGCACTTTAGCTAATGTATTTGTGAAGACTGGCAATTAAGCATTCATTTATTAAAATGTCAAGAACATTAAAGAGTTGAATCCTGGGTAGTTTATTTCCCACTTCTTTTTCTTAATGAAAAAGTAGCATAGAATTTGCTTTAAGCATAGATTATCCTTGAAATTATAAGAATATGCAAGGAAGGACTGAGTTTCAAAGCAGTAGTAACATTTAAAGAAGAAAAAAATCTAAAACTCAAACCATAGCAAAATGTGGGATCTTTTTTAGAGGAGAATGGGCACGCTTATACAGAAATGGAGTAGGCCCTGTGCAAGACTCAGCAAGAGCCATGTACTTGGCTAAGGTCACATAGGCCCGACTCTGGAATGCATCCAAGGACACCTGAGGAAGATAAGTGATGGACCAAGAACAAACACAGGAACGGACAGTTGCGATAACCAGGAAACGCAGTATTGCTAGCCAACCGATTATGTATTAGCTTAGGGTGCATGGACAGCTGTGAAAAGCAAATATAACCAATTAGCTACACTTAAGGCGCGTGATAATAGGGCTTGATGCTATATATTGGAGCTAGTGATCCAAGTAAAGGTCTTCAGTTGTAACTCTTATAGAGTTGTTTGGAGTCCGTGATTATTCGTCTCGTCAGCAAAATCTTTTCAAAGGACATAATGAGTTTATATTTCACTGGTGCCTGACTTATTTATCAGAAAAAAGTAAAGTTTAAAAGATTAATGGGACAGACCCCACCCCAACCTGCTCCCACTCAGTGATCGCAGGCTTACAACAGAGAAAAAAGCAGGCAGTGATGAGCTGCAAAATTGGCAACTGACATCAGCAGAAGCTCTTTTAGCAGCTTGTTAATGGGACTGACACCTCTAAAATGCAGATGTAGGCTCATTTGAGAGACATTGTTTTGTAGATTTCTATCAAATTCTGTGTGCTCCTTGCTCTGTTGGTTATAACTTCATCACTTTTTCAGTTTCTTTTTTTTTTTTTTTTTTTAAATCAGTCAAAAACATTGGTGTAGGAAACATGCCCATGTTTCTGAAAGTCTGTTTGGGACAACTAGTTTGAGCAGTCACGATACAGAAACTCCCTGTCACCCCATTCTTTGAAGAATTTGGTTGTTCAGCGCTACAGAGTACTCCCCTCTATGATGAACATGGCAGCAAAGGGGAATGGACTGTCATTGTCAGGTCTATAAACTTTTTTTTTTTTGTTTTCTTCTGACTTTTCTCTCTGTAAATTGTCCCAAATAACTGTGTCACATCAGGAAGAAAAAGCAAAGCAAACCAAAAAACTTCATCTGTTCTCCTTTAGTGCAGTAAGTCAGGATCTGTACCGGCAACAGAGCAACAACCTTTCTTCTCCACATTATTACATGTTTGAAGGATGAACAGCAGAGAGGACAGCAGCTGGTGAAAAATAAAGCTGACTTGTAATTTTTCAGTGAAACAGCATTTTATGTAAAAGACCAATATTTTGGGGTTTGATTTTGTTTTTTCCTGGTAATATGTGTGGGTTTACTCTTAGGCTGTCATCCAGTCTTAGCTCGCCTGCAAAGCAGTGTTTGATTAGCAGGTAGAGAAATAAATTAATCTGTCTGATGCAACTTCTCAGAAAACATCTTCTGTAAGTCAATTCTTGAAACAGACTGCTAAAGTTTTGCCCAAAATCCTTGCCTGAGACAAGTTAAACAGAAAACACGAAGTTGTATCTAGGTGGTGGAAAAAAATGAAGAATTTTATGGTACACAAATGCACCATATTGCCATTTGCAAGGTAAAACACACTATAATATTTGCAAATTATACATGATCTAAAAAGGGCATAGTTTAATACCCCTAATTACTCAAATTAAAGTATCTTTATATAGATCAGGAATTACAGCAATAGCATTCTTCATCACATTCACTTAAAAGTCTGATCCACTAAGAAAAAAGTGATATCCAGCTTCATTATGCTTAGCTGATGTCTGACATATACTTTATACAACCAGCTCTAATATTGAAAATTTTCTTCAATATGGAAGCATTTTTGTAACCTGCACACTTGGAGCTTAATCCATTTTCCACATTTTGTCATACTTGCACAGCTAATGCACTAGTAATTACAAACAGTTTTCTTAACAACAGATGAACTATTTAAATATTAGCTGCTCCTAGTTAAGATTAACTTGAGCTTACAATTAACAGGAAAAGGCAAGCTTTATTTACTAAATAACTATAATCATTAGGAAACCTACCTTGTGAATTTTAAATAGAACCTCACAGAGGTTATAAATTTTTTCAGCTCGTACCCAGTCTAGTGTGCTTACCTATAATATCAAAAGAAAATATTAGGAACACATTCTTTATTCTAAAATCATGTACAGATGAAAAAACAAAAAGAAAAAATTTCACCCGCCATTATTCTATGAATGCTCTAAATATAGGCACATTACTACATTTAATACCCAGCATTTAGAAAAGACTATCAAATAGCATTCAATTTTTACAGAAACAGCATCTACAGGTGTCTTACCATAATTGGATGTATTTCATTAGAATGTATTTAATTTTTTTTTTTGTCATCTTTATTACTACAGTATGATGGAAACATCTTTGTAATCTCTGTGATGAGTTACAGAAGCATATTTATTTTCTGGTATGCTAACACAGAAAACCCAGAGTCTCAAACCCAGTCATTCAGCTTCATGTCTCAAAAAAATCTTATAATCAACAGACCAAGATGTGTTCCTAATTTCACGTTTGAGTTTACGTACGCTAGGGCAGCAATATCTTAATGCTTATACAAAAAACTGAAAAAGGCTGTGATTACAATATTTGAAATTAAGAAGAATGTAAACTGAGTCCTTAATAATGGATATACAAAAACAGTTTTGGTTTTCTTTTGATTTCGTTACTTAATTCTGTTGACATGATAGGCTGCTAAAATTTGACGGTTAGAATATTTGAAGTTTCCCCTAAATTCTCATTCATGGTATAATGTAATATCTGTTTTCTTTTAAAAACAGTACCTAGCCTGTTGAGTTCAATAGGAAAAAACCAAGGGGAATACACATTATTTTGCTTATATATTTTAGAGCAAAATCTTAGTTCTTGGTGAATGCACAGGAACGGTTGCATAGATACGTGAAGAATTTGACTAAATTGCAACTCTGAGGCTTTTAACACATGGATATAGGTGTTTTGGTGACTCTGAAAGCAACTTGAATACTAGGGCACATGCAGCTTTTTCTTGTTGCTGCCCCCTCCCAAAATGAAGAAAACAGAAAAAAAAAGTTATTATTTAGGTAAAGCAAAACTTGGCTGTAAAATATCTGGCTTCTGTGGATGAAACTTAACCAGGAAAAATTATAAAATTCAGTACCATATTCTTTTTCTCTGTATTCACAGCGGCACATAGTTCACCTATAATAATGAATCTTGTTCCTGATGTTTTGCATGAAGATCAACATGGGCTTTTTTTTTTATTTTTTAGGTTGCATTTCCAGGTCTTCGTAAATACTGAATGATTAACCAAAATTGTAGCAAAATGCTGAAAATCCAAACCAATACAGCACTTAGGAGCAGACTGATGTGACTTTTACTGTTGTTGAATGTTATTTCAGAGTGCTGCTGGAGGAATAATGCAAGCTTGGTATTAGTTTATTTTTAATCTTACATGCCGTTATGTCCACTACAACTGAAACTAATTAACATTATTATTGAGTAGATCTCACAGCTATGTGTTTCAAAGCAGTGTTTCAGAATTTACCTGAATTCTTTCTTCTTCACAAGGAAACCATCCCACCTAAATTTAGACATCAGAAGCGTCTAATCTTAACAACCTAACCTAATTCTTGATAAACTAATCTTAATTTCAACATATTGGGAAAGAAAAAAAAAATAATCAAAAAAAGGCAGTCCTTTCTCCTAGCTAGTGTCTAACTTTAGACTAGATTTTTATGTCTAGTTCATTATTTGGTCTTGAATTTCTCAAAAGGAAAGATTCTTTTCAATCTCAGTTAAAAGCAGGAGAATCCTTCATGCCTATTAGTGGTTAGGCAAGATATAAAAGCATAAACATGGATTTAATCTGCTGTTTATGAAACTGAACTTAATGACACAGACTATAACCTAAAAGCTTTTGAGACATGACTGAACTTTCATTTGCTCATCTCCTTTGTTTTGATTCCTGAAGATTAATTTAAACCATTGGGGTTCTTTGTTGCTATTAATGATGCTACCACAGACAATGGTGACACTGCTGTGCCATTAAATTTACTCTGAATACTTCAGCCTTCTCCCCATTATCCTGTGCATCTCTTTCATGCTTGGACTCTCTTATGACTTTTTCAGCAAAGATAGCTATTAATGCTGATAACTGTCAGCACCTATATAAAGCAAGATATTCCTTTACTGAATGTGTCAGGGAAAGGCTACTATACTTATAATCAAGAGTGAAACAGTCTGAATATCATAGTGTGCAAGGTCATTAGAACACGAATGACATGTTGAGAGGGATTTTAAGGAGGGGAAACAAACATACTACAAAGGGATACTGGAATCTAAAGTGTCAGCTGACATTATTTATAGTTTTCTCAGAACTATCATAGTATATCCAAGTTTAAAATGTCATTGTTATAGACTGCATTGCTTTTAAAAAAATCACAAATGATCATATACTTCTGGTCAATGAGAAAAGATGGAAAGAATCAGAAAAGTTCACAAAAGTGCAATATTCTTCATTTGCTTTAAAGGATGTTTTGGTTTATTTCAGGCTTATCCATCTTCATGCATTTAATAGCTGGGTAATGATAAGTAACAAAGGTAAATAAGATACTGAAATATATTTCTTAAGCAATAAAAAAGTTTTTCTCATTATTTCCCCTTGGAATGTAGGTATTCTATACATTGCAATTTCTTGGGATTATTTTAGCATTACAAGGTAATTATTTTTAGTAAAGCATGTGACAAAATGTTTCAAAAAATATTCAGAATGACTCACTTAATAAGACATACTTTCAGTCATACCAATTTAGACCTGAAAGTGTCAAAAATAATGTCAAAATGCATGGAAGTACCAATTAGCATTCACTGAGCTTCCACTTTAATTTTTGTTTATCTAATATATGAATTTCTGACCAACAGTAGCTGAATGTTATTGTTATAAATTTGATGGATGGACCAGCCAGTGGATAAAGAATTGGCTGGATGGCCACATGCATCAAGGTCTCAGTGTTCAATTGGAGACCAGTAACAAGTGGTGTCCCTCAGGGATCCGTGTTGGGACTGACCCTGTCCAACATCTTTGTCAGTGATATGGACAGTGGGATTGAGTGCACCCTCAGCAAGTTTGCCGATGACACCAAGCTGTGTGGTTCAGCTGATATGCTGGAGGGAAGGGATGCCATCCAGAGGGACCTTGGCATGCTTGAGATGTGGACCAGTGCCAACCCCATGAGGTTCAACAAAGCCAAGTGCAAGGTCTTACACCTGGGTTGGGGCAATCCCAGGCACAGCTACAGGTTGGGTAGGAAGTGATTAGGAAACTGAACATGAGCCGGCAGCGTGCGCTTGCAGCCCAGAAAGCCAACCGTATCCTGGGCTGCATCGAAAGAAGTGTGACCAGCAGGTCAAAGTAGGCTATCCTGCCCCTCTACTCTGCTCTTGTGAGACCCCACTCTGAGTATTGTGTACAATTCTGGTGTCTCCAACTTAAGAAGGACATGGAGCTGTTGGAGCAAGTCCAGAGGAGGGCCACGAGGATGATAAGAGGACTGGAGCACCTCCCGTATGAAGACAGGCTGAGAAAGTTGGGGCTGTTCAGCCTGGAGAAGAGAAGACTGCGTGGAGACCTCATAGCAGCCTTCCAGTATCTGAAGGGGGCCTTACAAGGATGGTGAAGAGGATCCCTTCATCAGGGACTGTAGCAATGGACGGGGGCAACGGATTCAAACTTCAACAGTGAAAGTTTAGGTTAGATATAAGTAAGAAGTTCTCTACAGTGAGGGTGGTGAGGCACGGGAAAGGTTGCCCAAAGAAGTGGTAAATGTTCCATCCCTGGCAGTGTTGAAGGCCAGGTTGGGCAAAGCCAAGTCTAGTATGAGGCCCACAGAAGAAGGGTTGTAATTAGGTGATCATAAGGTCTTTTCCAATCCTAACCATTCTGAGATTCTATGATTTTATGTTATTATTGGAAGACCAATTGCTTACCTAACACAATGCATTATTTGATATATTGAATACCTGGGTTTGTAGATATTTGGATATATTATTCCTCTTAGAAAGACTCCAAAATAACATACTTGTAAACTCACAGATAACAGTGAGCTGATCACAAAGATAACAAAAAGGAACAAAGATAGAAAAATAGGAACCTGAAATTACAATTTTAAGTCCATAGTGAGAGACTGAAATAAGTATGTAGAGTTACAAAAGTGCCAAATATTGCAGTACTTTTTACTTCAGCATGAGTTTCTGTAAGTTCTTAATGTTTTAAAAACAGGCATTACATTGGATTTCTGAGAATAAATAAACTTTTAACATCTAGTTTTACCTAGTTAGTCCAAGTAATCTCAGATATAGAATCATAGAATCATAGAATAGTTAGCTTTAAATGTGTCTGTCAATCACTGATTTTTCTTTAAAAATTTAACATTTAAAATAGAGAAAACAATAAAGTTAAATACATTTTGGCACATACATGTAGAAAACAGAAAACTGAAAAAGTTACTTCCTAGAAGAGAATTCCGCAATTATAATATAGGTATAAGAGACTTTCATGCTTATTCAGGTACCAGCACTAAAGGATTGACTAGACATGAGACATGAATATGGGGTGCATGTAAAAGTGAATCATACTTCCAAACTCCTTAAAGTCAAAGGGAACATAATACATTTGAGTTTCTGTGAACACTGAATCTGTATGTAGAATTCTCCAGTGTCCCCCAATATATATATAAAAAACAGAATACATTTTAAGAGTAAAACTTAGAGGTGAAAAAAAAAAAATATCAAAATGGCCGTAGTACTTATTACTGGAATACAGAGAATATTACGTTATCTGACAATTAAGCTGACCCACCTAGAAGTACTAAAAAGGATTAGGCAAAAGATTAAATAGTTTTAGTTCAGGAGTAATTAATTTCACTGGTCTCTCCACTCTTCAATGGAAAACAAATGAGACAAGTATAATTAAAAAAAAAATAACTAAAAGATATTGAAAAGGAAAAAAAATCAAGAAATGTTCTTGAGATGAACTATGATATAGCAATGTAAGAAACCTAAAGTTTTCCAAACCAAAACAAACTTGATGGTACAAAACACACAGTAAAGAGTAGTCATATCCTAGCGAATATATGAACAAATTTAAATGAATTGTTGTATGTAGAGTTAGAAAGTTCACCAAAAGCATTTATGGTCAAGTCTATGCCCTCCAAGTCATTGCTACCTCTTTCCTAACACATTGACATTATAATGTATGAAATTACAAATGCTTAGAACTTACATAGCAGTGCTCTAACATTCAAAGGACTGCTCATGTGCTAATTACAATATATGAGCTTTCTTTGTTGTATTTTTCAAAGGTGGAACTATGTCTGTTACTTTCACATAATTCTTGTATTTCTTCCTTTTCTTAAAACTATAAGCACCACATGCAGTGATTGCCTAGCTGCCTTCACGTAAATCACTTCAGTGCTATTTATTTAATCATGTTGGAAAAGGTAGTTTTGTAATTAAGGATAACACAACAGCTCCAAAGATATGGCTACTTTGAAGACTTGAATGTAAAAGCCACAGTGAACTATGTGGAAGACATAAAAATCAACCAGTACAAACCTCCCCTATAACAGCCTGTATTCCATAAAAATAAAACATTGAATTTTTCTGGAAATTTTCGATGACATAAAAAGTAGGGGTATTTTTGGATGACAATTTTGAATAATGTCTCTCCAATTTCCTCTAGAATGTGAATTCAGAACCTTTTCAAGATCTGAAAATTGACAGAAATATATCAGATGCTTTTAGGATGTAATTAAATACTGCTTATACATTAACATCAACACAATAACAATTTCTATTCGTTCAGTTGTGGTTTTAACATATGAAGTTTTCACAAATGTGTCACAACTCTAATATACCAATCTGTAAAGGAAATCTTTGAATTTCTTAAATATAGTCAGATAAGCCACTTTAGGGATGCAGAAAGACCATTCTCTGTTAATCATATCATTCTTGATATTTACTTCTTTGGTGAAGCTTCTACATTTTTGGAAACACCATCTGAGATATTGTTGAAATGGAGTATAAATAGAGTATTATCTTCCACAGTAATTTCTTTCGTATTATAATATCCACATTTTTTCCACAATTTTCATTTTTGCCCATGGATAACTATGTTTTTCATTCTTACAAAAGTTAGCAGCTGTATTTACATTCATATAATCTTTCACACACAGTGAAATAGAAAGAGAGTAGAAATTGCACCAGATCCTTTTACAAGCAGTTGCAAAGTTATGAGTAAGGTGATTATAACTAAAGATGATTGTAAGTCATCTGCTCTGTGCCCACTACATCGATACACTGATGCACTACACTGATTCCATATAAAAATAGCAGTAACTTCATAGAAACATCTCTGAAATGTTAAACTGTAATCTACTAAAGCAGGTTGAAACATCTGTATTTCTGTGATACAGCAATCCTGCCTGTCCTAAGCAGATTGATGCCTAGCCAGTCTCCAAGCAATGGCTACTTCTGAAGACCAAATCCTTGTTTTATGATGTTTTATGGGGCATAATATCCCTTTTGGCCTATTTGGGCCACCTATCCTGGCTGTGTCCTCTCCCAACTCCTTGCCCACTCCCACCCTACTCGCTGGGTGAGCAGAGTGAGAAACAGAGGAATGCTCTGCAAGCACTGCTCAGCACCAGCCAAAACACTGACTGTTGTGCTAGCACTGTTTTAGTCACAAACCCAGTGCCATATGGGCTGCTGTGAAGAAAGTTACCTCCATGCCAGCTAGGCCCAGTATATGATCCAGCCAGGAGCAGGGCAGCTACAGGGGCTGAGAGCAACTCTCTCCAGGCACCTGGCACCTCCCTAGGGACAGGGATGGGCTGAGGCTGGGCCTGGATGTGGGCCCGGGGCATTGGAGCCTGTGGCTAGGCAGGACAGGACTGTGGGGAGCTGGAGACTGGTCCTCCTGCATTGCTGGTGCAGGGAGGGGCTGCAATCAGGTCCTCGGTTGTGGGAAGGGTTGGGGAGCCCAGATAAGGGGGTCAGAGACATTCAGGGTTGGAAGTCTCCTCAGGACACTGATAATCAGCTTTGAAGTGTAGCTTTAGATCCAGGTTTGAATTCTCCAGATGAGTGGTTGCTGGAAACTGCCAATTTCTAGTTTGGTTTTGTTTTCCTGATATAAAACATCTGTATAAATAGCAAGAAAACTGGCCAACAGGTTTTATGTTTTATAGGCTTTGTCACAGTTACTGGTGTATCTGAGTACTGGGATGACATAACACATTGACCAAAGCAGTCCCCTCTGTTCATTTGTCTGAAAAGCCACTGTTTTTACAAAAACATTGCACTGAAATAAAATAGAGCATAGTAGATACTGACAAGTAACATGGTATGAATACTACGAAACATTCATCCTCACTTGTCTGTTCTTAGTAGAGTGCTGAACACAATAAAAGAAGTCGTTTATCCCAAATTAGTACTGTGTAGATTAATAGTTTTAATTGTATCAAAAATGTTTCTTCAAAAAAAGGTCTGAAAACAGTAATTAAAATTTATAAGGGAAAAGCATTTGTTTGGTTTGTTATTTATTTGTTTAATATTTTTGTATTGTTTTTGCATTTTAATTGGATTGAAATAATTGAATCAAAGTTTAGTTCCTTGACTTAACATAGACAATTTTTAGTGGGGAAACCCCCCACCTTTTCCCAAATCTGTTGTCTCGTTTTAAAAAGAATACTAGTGGCTACTTAAAAATGCTTGAAGTTAATAGGAATCATTGGATTTATAATTTAAATTTAAAGAAAGAGTAAGTGTTACTGATTGCTTCTCATTTTGGTTCATAAATAAGGTTTGAAGAGTATGCACTTCCCAAAGGTATTGCACATGGTGCACATGTAAAGGGTCAGATTCTTTTAAATAGATGAATAAAAGGGAGACTGACCACTTTCCAAGCACAACTGGAAAGAAGCTGCATAATCAAAATTAGAACATTCTACTTCCACATTTTTTTTCTTTTTGATTTGTTTAAAGCAAAGGCTCTCTAGAGAAAAAAAAAGTAAGGATAAAACAATACCATGTGGCAAGTATGGGTCACTTTTTAAGAGTTTAGAATTCTACAGCTCCTTTCTGTTTTATTCATTTAAATTACTGTTTCTTAGGGTTTGTGTTTTATTCAGAGAAGTGCCAGATAAGTCATCTATTGTAAAATAGAATTCTCGTTACCAGCTATGTAAATTATCAAAGCAATATGATGCCATCTGTTCAAACTGTACACTTACAATTGAATTCTCTGTAACAGTTCAATCCTTGCCTGTGTGCAAAATCCACAAGTATCTACTAATAGTTTGGATGGTCTACTTTATGATGTATCTTCTCTTTAAGAAAACAGAGTAACTACCAAATCATTATATCTGTGAAATACCTTAGAATAAATAAGGCAAGAAATATTTGCCTAAGAAACCAGAGAAAAATCTGAATCTGACATCTTGACATCTTTAAAAAGTGAAACACTTACTCCCTATTGGAAAGTCTTTGAACTATCCAGGTACAGTAAGACTTTCAGAGGACTTTGAAAGAGGTTAAATATCTAAAGCTTATTGAAATATAGAGATATCTATGGCTTTAATTTCTTCTGAAATCTCAGCTGGTGACTGCACTTGGTAAGGAAAAACAAACCCAGGCATAACAAACTGGTTTCCATTTATAATGAAACTGTCACAAAAATACAATTTTTTTACCGGTGGAGTGCTGAAAATATAGAAGGATGATCCCTTCAGTGCCAGAAACTTGAATTTGTAGAGTTGAGATGAATCAATTCCTTCAAGTCTCTCGTTTACCCATCCCATATGTATGACCTGTAAAAGAAAATAATTGAAAATTAAAGCTCTATTTTTCATTGAAGCATAAGATATATCTGAATAGGTCAATTCTTTCCACAAAGAGTGGTCATATTACAATGGGATGCATCATTTACTTCTTCACATTTGCCTTCCCACCACTCCCATAGTCTTGAAGTATATGGTAACATGCCAATGTGTCAGAATTCCTTGAAGAGACCTTACAAGTACAGATTGTCTGATCTTGTCTGAAATAATAATTGTAAAAGCTACCTGTGTATGCATCAGCAGACTCTCACTTGAGCCAGCAGAAAGCCTAGGTGCACTGAAATATTTGTCAGCAGTTTATAAAAAACATGTTCCTACATTATCTATAGCACAGACAAAACTTAGATACACTGAAATTTCTTTTATATGTACCTCTAAAGAAGTACATCTGAAGAAATAAATCAAACAGCTTTCTGTATGCTCATGTTTCCACTAGTAAAAAAGCATCTCTGTCACACTGATTGTCTTTCAGAGTTTATGTACTTTCTTATATATACACTTTATCTCGTGATAATTTATGTTCTCATAGAATTAGATGTCAAATTCAGTCGTTGCATAGTTTTTCTCTAACAATGCATGTATTACATGTATGCCTTTATATATTACATAATATATTATGTATATTACAATGTCTTATAATGCATGCCTTTATATTTCAGGTAAATTAAAGAAAAATAAAAATAAAGAGTAAAACTGCATTCTTCCTTTCTGAGGTAAATCCGAAAAATAAAAAATAATAATAAAAAAAAGAATACCATTAATGTAGTTACCCACCAAAAATAACTAACAAAACCATTTTAGGCTTCATTCTGCAAACATTAATAGAAACATATTGCCCTTGAAACAGGTACTTGAATCTATACTGATCCAGCAATCTGAATGTACAGCTATTGCTGCATATTAAGCGTGCTTGTTTTCAGTTAAGGCTACACTTACGGAAAATACTGATTTACACAGGGGAAGAAATGTCATAGCACTTGTGAATATACTGACCCCCAAGAGTTTTGCTGGAAGTCTGTGGAAACAGCCTGAAGAAGGCATTCATTAAAATGCATGAAAATATCAGCATTTGTCCTATGAATAAAGTTGTGAAAAATGTGATGATCTCAGGAATGTTTCTCTACTGAAAGCACAGGGGGTATACCTGTTGCTGTTTTAGCAACAGACCACAGAGATGGCAGGTATGGACAGGGGACAGCTAATAGCACAGATGCATATAGATATATAAGCATGACACTCTTGTGTCATGAAAATCTCACACATTGTTTTCTAATTTTGGTATTTAATGTATCTATTCTCTTACTACTCAATTTATCAAGAAACAAATAATAACACTGAGCTAGACAGTCATCCTCTATACTTTTCTACTGAGCTCTAGCATTAACATTTTAAGCAGATCTAAGAAACAGAACAATAAATACAGCAGCCCTTCCAGTTCTCAAATTGCTATTCTGTAAATTTAATAACTGTCACTAAAGCATTGTTTCTACAATAGTCAGTAAAGGTTTAGAAATAGGATGTTTAGATACTTCATTACTTTAACAAATATACTATAGTATTGTTGATAATCTGCTACAAACTGTATTCCATATTATCAGTGTGGTAATATAATACCAAATAATGCACACAAAAAGAATAATGTCCAAATCACAGGGCACAAACAGTACAATATTCTCCTTTACATTCATAAAATCATGATTACTGACTTGCAAATGGACACCATTTATTCACTTGTAACAGCATTAAAATCTTTGCTAAGAACCTAGTTTATTGATTAAATTGATAGATCGATAAGCAAAGGATATGGCTCTACTATGTTCTTCATTCACTAACATTATCATCACCATTTATTCTTGTAGCAGCATCCAACAAATAATTTTGGAATCATTCACCATGTCGAGTGGCAAAACTATGTCACAGATAAATTCTGCAGCTTGCCTAGGTTGTTATTCAAATATCATATATTAAAGCAAACATGACAAATTCTGAGAAATATAACTATGTATCTTGTTGCAAATCAAAGATGTTCATTTAATATACTGAAAGAAGGAAAACATGAAGTTCCTAGTTGATACTCAGAGCAGGATGGTACTAGAAGACTGGAATTCCAAAATACACATGCGATTTTCTATGATTGACAGGAAAACTTGGTTTATCTAGTTGACAGAAACCATAGGTTGGAATTCATGTGAGGGCTCTATCATTGTTGTATTCTTATCTATGGCTGCAAGATGTGCTAGGAGTGCCAAATGTGATAACATCAATTTAATGTAGCACTTAAATCTTCTGGGTAATTTTCTTGAGTATGTATTTAGCTACAAACACAAGACTGCATTTTCTAATTAGCTGCAGACTTTGTTTTTGGCAACTGTTCTAAGTGTTTTACTGAAATGGAACTGTATTATTACTGGTTTTATTGCAGACATATCATTCTGTGACCAGTCTACCTGTGTTAGATCAGAATCAAGAGACTTGGTTTGAAGTATACGCTTCTCCACACAGAGAAACAGATTTTTATAATTATTAACATCTCTAAACTCAGTGTTAAGCTGTTCTGTATGCTGAAATCTCTTTCAAGCTCAGACAAAAAAAAAAAAAAGGAATGACACAAAACCATATCCACTGGACTAGATTTTGGGGGAATGGCCTTTCTACTCACTGAATTATTAGAACACTGTGGTATCACTCTTGATATATATGAACTGTGCTAAGGTCACCTATTCATTCCACTTCATTGAAGTCTACACAAAACCAAACAGTAATACTTCAGTAACATTTTGAATACATTGATTTGAGTATTACTCTGCTTGATTCAAATGACTAACAAAAAATCCAACTCTGGGAAAAAAGAGCTTCAATCAGAAAAAAAAAAAAGACTATGAAAGCAAAGAGAAAGTTTTAGAACTCTTAACAATATAAAAGGACCCTTTTTGTTTCTAAATCTGATTATAACTCCCAAGATATATCAGAAACTGATTAAAAGTTTTCAAATTTTCATTTTCTTTAAAACTATTACTTAGCTTTGTATTGTCAATATAATTTGTGGAACTCAAACAATTATATACCTAACAGTTGAAATAAGAAAAAATGGTCTACTGATTTATATCTTACAAAAGAAAACAAAACCTTACATGGAAAAATTACCTAGTACATTATAGGTCAATGTCATTAAAAACAAACAAAAGCCCCAACAAACAAAACAAAACAAAACAAAAACCACCCTGAAACAGTAAAAACCCTTCCAAAAGTCTTTTAATCCCAAGATTATGGTTTCTGTGTTAGCACCATGAAACACTTACCTAAGAAATGAATGTGCAAGTAAACAAAATGTTGCAGAATTTTCCACACTTCCTAAGGCACCTATAAAGTGAATGTCTGCATCAATTTGTTCAATTTTTTTTTTTAATGAAGATGTGAAAAAATTCAGCAAGTAGCACATTTGTAGATCAATTTTGAATTTGGAAAGTATGTCTGCAGAATAATGATTGAACTCTCAGTATATATATACATTTAGAGAAATCTAGTACAACTAGAAGACAGACAAGCTTTCTGTTTGTTCATTTGTTTTAGAATTTTTGTATATTGAGGAGAAAAGGAAGGGAAAGAATATGGATTGTTCCATCAGTTATAAAAGATTGAATCAGATACTTTTTGGGAAAAGAAGCAATAGTCAGGCTAGGTAGCTGAAGAGGGATAGCTATGGGAAGATAAATGGTGAGCTCATTCAGTATAGAGCTGCATTACTGTCATTTGCATGGCTGGGGATAACAGGATGGTAAGCTAAAAGGTAAGTTACTAATGAACATGAAAGAGAAGGAGGAACAGACATTGCAAAAGACATTTAGGAGGAGAAACAAATCAATGTAGTAAGACAAAAAATAAACAGGAGAAAATATGAAAATAACAATAGGAAGGACAGTATACAAGTATATAAAGGGGGGAGAATCAACGAAAAAATACTTGGGAGGGAAAAAAAAAACCAGAGAAAACAGGATTCCCAATGTATACTTGCCTATAATGACATAAAATTGTTAAAAAAGTAAAGAAGGAAAATGGAACAGCTTCCTTTAACAGAATCAGTGATTAACTTATGCATATATTGAAAAAAATAACAAAAGTATGCATCTTTTTATAGAGATATTAAAAAAGTCTAGTATTTTTTTACTTTCTTTCCACAAATCTTTCTTATTGACTGGTTTATTTAATGGTCATTTAGACAACAGAAATGGAGAAAGATTAATTATTCAGTTCAACAAAAGTCTATATACAACAGAAGCAACTGAGTGTTGGTACTCAACAAGCTGCTTGTGGTTCATAACTAGGTTACTGAAATTTTAATTGTGTTTCAGTACATGGGTGTGAACATTAGTCCTGGGATAAAAACTGTTCTGTTATTTGGATTGAAACCTGCCTTTTGAAGTTTAAGGAGTGCTCATAAGGCATAACACTACAAACTGTCCCATTTTTAGCACTGCTTTCACCACTTTATTCCCATAATGCATAATCAATTTGAGATTGCTATTTGAAATGCGGTGGAAAAATACACATACATCTAGAAAATTACCCATACATTATAGATATGTTATTAAGTTTCTAATACATTCTAATAAACTTTTCCAAAAGTTCCTGTAGGAACAAAATGAGCAATGGTACTCATTATGGGGAGATTAAACAAGTCACTAACAAAATGTAATCCAATCACAGCAGATAAATGAAAGTTCTTATTTGCACTGATTGTTTTGCTACACCAATAAAGCATCTAGAAGCTACAATGACTGTAAACTTAATGTGTTACATTTAATAACGCAATCAGTATGTTTAGTATATCGTAATTTTAGTTAAATAGTTATGAAAAGTAAATAATGCAAAACACTCCAGAGGGAAATGAAGAAAGAAATCAAGTAGATGTCTGATGTATGACACAGAACAGATAGGTACATTTAAGTAACTGAAGTGGGATAAGAATCTAC